TTTAGTAGCCTGACAGTAACCTGCAATAGTAAGGTATACCAGCTTTCTTTTCGTCAGTATTTGTGAACTATGTTTTTACATTCTGTTAGTTTCACAGTGCTTATCTATATATAAAGTATCTCTTCTAAGTGAAAAAGTTTTTATTCATTCTTACATAATTTTAATTGGAATATTTAATTTAATTATGCTTAATGTAATTGCTGGTAAGTTTGAACATGAGTAACTCATATTCATTGTTTCCTGTTTGTCCAGCCTATTTTATTTCCCTGCTATCCTTTTTTTGCATGAATTAATTTTAATATGATATATTCTCCTCTTTGTTAGCTTGTTATTGTCTCTTACTATTCTTTTAGTTTACCCTGAAGATTATAACATATTCCAATAATAGACTTAGAGTCTATTTAAAATTAGTACTTTTACCTGTGCAGTGACTCTTTACAGTCAGTGCAAAACCCTGGAACCTTTACAATATGTAACCACATTTATTCCCTCTTACATGTTTGTGGTGTTTTCTGTATTTCAGTTTTATACGTGTGTATATATGCACTTAAAATTCCATGAGATAGATGTTAGTGTTGTTTTACGCGATCAATATTCATTGACATTTACTTGTATAGTGTTCCTTTCTGTTCTTCATACCACACTGTGTCTATGCTTTTATCTGGGGTCATTTTTTTTTCTTCCTGAAGAATTCTTGGCAGCAGTACAGTTGGCTGCTGATAAGTATATTTCGTTTATAGTTTGTGAAAACATTTATTTTTCCTTTATATTTAGTGATTCTGTAATTCTATCTAGGCAGTTATTTTTATTCAGAACTTTGAAGTTACCATTTCATTGTCTTCTGGTTTTTGTTTCTTCTCTCAAGTTTATTTTTACTCTTTTGAAGGAACTTTATTTTTCCTACTTTGGCTGTTTTTAAGGTTTTATTTTTGTCTTTGACGTTTAGCAATTTTATTCTGATGTGCCTGGCTGTGGTTTCCTGCTACCCTTTGGGGTTTATAGTACTTATTGAACCTCTGGGTTAGTGTCTTTTATCATTTTTCCAAATTTTTTGACAGTCACATTTTTTTCTCTCCTTCTATTCTGCAATTCTGATATGAGACCTTTGCACCATCTTGTATGTAGTTTTTCCTGCATTTCCACTTTTTTGTCATTATGCTTCAGCCTAAAAATGATCTTGTGACCATGAATGCTCTGCTGTTAAACCCACCTACTAGTTCTACATTTTAGTTGTATTTTTCGTTCTAGAGTTTCTGCATATTTTTTAAAGATTTTATTTATTTATCTTTAGAGGGGAAGGGAAGGAAAGAGGGAGAGAAATATCAATGTATGGATGCCTCTCGAGTGTCCCCTGATGGGAACTGGCCTGCAACCCAGACATGTGCCCTGACTGGGAATCGAAACAAGATCCTTTGATTCGCAGGCCCGTGCTCAATCCACTGAGCTACACCAGCCAGGGAAAGTTTCTGCATATTTTTATGACTTTCAGTACTATGCATAAATTTTCTGCCATGGCATTTAATTTCTTATAGTTATTTTAAGTTCCATAGCTCATAAGTTCAAAATCTCTTCTCCCAATTTCTGTGAACTTGGATATATTTTTTTCTTTTCACTATCCTCTAACTGAAACTTAGTATTTCCTTTAATTATGAAAGTAGAAGTCACAGTTGTACCTGCAAATGGCAGATGCTTTTCTATCACATTAGCCTTGTAACAGATATATTGAAATGTGTATGTATTGTATGCGCATCACTGCTTTGAAATTATAGTAGTTATTAAACCTGCCTCTAGGCATAGTTACTTGATACATTAGTACGGAAATTCAGATATTATGTCACAGATTAAAAAAAATATTTTTATAGCCCTGGCTGGTGTGGCTCAGTGGCAGCCTGTAAACCAAAGGGTCACTCGTTTGATTCCCAGTCAGGGCACATGCCTGGGTTGCAGGCCAGGTCCCCATTTGTGGGCATGTGAGAGGCAACTATACATTGATGTTTCTCTTCCTCTGTTTCTCCCTCCTTTCCCCTTTCTAGAAACAAATAAATAAAATCTTAAAAAATATATATATTTTAGTTAGTTCTTTATAATGGATTTCTACTCTATGCCTAATGTATTTTTAAACGTGTTTTAAAAACATAATAAGAAGGGGTCCGCAGACTTCAGAGTACAAAATGGTGTTACAGTGCAGGTCACATTACATCATTCCGCATGCACAACGCTCCAGTGGTTTCCTCGAGTTTCTGGGAGAGAGGAGAAGCCACAGTCCTCTTGGTGGCTTGCATGGCTCTCTGGGACCTGCCACCTCACTCGCTGCATCTGACCACATCTCCACCTCCTGTTCTCTTTGCTCACGCTGCGACAGCCGTGCTGGGAAGATGCCAGGTCCTTTGAGCAGCTCTTCCGTCTTCTTGGAACACTCTTCTTCAGAATAGCTCCCTTGCCTACTCCCTCACTCCCTCACCTGCTGAATCAGTCTTGAGCACTCTTCTTAAAGTTTTTGTCCCTGCCCCTGGGTGCACACTATCTGCTTTCCCTAATCTGTTTTCCTCCATAATTTATTATAGTTTTTCCTATTATATGCTTAACTCTTTCACTAGTTCAGTGTTGATTTTGGTGGGGAGGTAGGTTCTCTGGGGGCCTGTGTTGGACCTTCATTAGCAGCAACAGTGAGGTCTACCCTGGAATTGGTCTTGGTCCCCTGTGTAATTTGTATTCTTTCTACCACCGCTGTTTCATTTTTAAGCCTGTCGCATTCACTGTGGGGTAGATGGTGCCAAAAGCTTTGCCAGCTGCGTGGCTTGGCGGTTTTTACCTCTTCTGAGGCTGCCGCCCTCTGGGGTTTTAACAAGTGATGCAGAGAGCGTCATACTCCGTGTCCACAGTCACACGTTTGTCCATGTGCGTCTTCCCAACATCTCCTCGTCTCTGTTTCTTTTTGTAGTTGAACCAATCAAACAATTTATTCAAATAAGATTAAAGTGCTCCAAATATAGTTCTTACATTTTCAGTGAAAAGATTCAGAGGATACACACACAATTCTAATTTACTCCCACCTAGTTTTTTAAAAATGTGATCTTTATTGTCTTTTTCCATTACCATTTAGTCCCTTTACACCCAGCTCCTCACTAGCAGTCACTGCACTGTTGTCTGTGTCCATACGTGCTTTTTCCTTTTTGCTCAGTCCCCTCACCCTCTTCATCTTTTCTAGGGTTTCTCTCTCATTTTCTGGAGAGCATGCTTCTTGTCATGTATCTGGTACTTCTTGCTGACCTCATTCAGTTAATATGATGTCATGGATATCATGGACCAGAATGAATTTCTTTGGATTGTCCACATGGTCCTGGTCCCTTGGGACTGTACTAAGTCAAAGCACCAGGAAACTAACAGCCCTGTTCCAAGCATCACATGTGAAAGTCAGTGGCTTTTGGTTCTCCTGCCTAATACAAGTAGAGAGACACACTTTTCCAGAGCAGTGACTGCACACTGCTCAGCTGACAGAGACCGGTAACCCTGACTTTTTATCCTGCCAAAGAGGACCTCTGGCTTTCGCAGGGTCGTCTTTAACTGGGGATTAATCATCCTCAGCCTTTCACTGTCTTTATTGTATTGACTGCCCCAAGCAATAGCTATCTCACTTTATAATTGTTTTAATTACTGCTTTCCTCTATCTCTCAAGAGCTTGAAAATCTGTACCCTCCAGTGCCTTCCATTTCACCAACAAAATCTAGCAATGACCGTTGCATTGCTGCAGCATGTCAGAATTGTGTACCGTGAGTGCTGATGTCTTATTGCTAGCCAGTCAGTGATCGATATGGCCCCAAAAATCTCGTTTGGGAGCCAATTTCACAGGACCACTGTTGATACCAACTCTGTCAGGTCAGGTTCCCCAGAACACACTTTGAAACTTCAGGAATTGCATGCAGGAGATTTGTTGAGGGGGGCTTCTGGGATCAACCCCCATGAGAGAAGGTAAAAGGGAAACAGCATTAAGAAGATGGAGAAATTGAATTGCCATGCAATTGCAAGAGCAGCCTCAGTGACTCTTACAGGGCGAGTGGAAGCTAGAGTAACCCTCCCAAGATATACCCCATTGAAACAGAGGGCTGGATCATTTTACTGCCTGTCAACCAGCCATTGATTGTGGGCTGCTTTGGGTGAGGGGGTTCTCTGCAACTTAGGGAAGTTCCTGAGGGTTCAGTTATTAGCCATCCGTGGGCCAAATCCTGGAAGCTGGGGTAATGAGTACTGCGGTCCTGAAGGGGTAGATCTGGGTGGCACACCACAGCATTCCACACAGCCACAATGGCCAGATCAGTTTTCGTGGAGTGGTGCGGGTGGAAAGGATACTCTAGTGCTGGGGGTAAAGGAGATGAAAACTTGTTCAGACACCTTGCCTCTGGAGGGGCGGACAGAGAGGAAAGAAGTTCTCAAGGAGTCGGGAGAAGATGGGACCCAGCATGAAGCTGGTAGATTTTCCTCATGCAGGAAGTGGTTCGTTTCCAATACAGTAATCAAAGAGAAGGAAGAAGAGAGTTTAGATGTGAGTAACTTGATAGCATTAGTGGGAGGAAGTTGAGGCAGTTCTTATTTGTTCCTTCTGGGGAAGAGCAGGGAGAATCAACAGCTGGCTTTCCCCACTAGAGGGAATCGCCACCCCTTTCCTGCTGGAATAGCAAGGTTGTGTCCAGGACAATTTATTTCTCATCCGTGGCAGATGAGAGGAATTCTGTGGGATGGGGTTCCTCCCACGGAGGGGGAGTTGGTTGGGTTAAAGATTTAAAGTAAGTAAAGAAGATTTTAATAGATTGCTGAGGAGAGTGGGAAGGAAGAACTAACAGGATGGCCATTGGCGGCGAGGGCACATTTGAGGTCGTCATTCTGATCTTGTAGAACCGCCCATTTGTGCAATTGGGTGACTTTCTCCGGCTGTGCTTAATGTGGTTAAAGTATAAACACTATGTTCAGTGTCTTACAAGGCTGTTTTCTTTGTCTTTGCATAGCCATCAGATCAAGTCATTACAGTATAGTAATACAGGAGACATGATTCTTGTTGTGTCTGGAAGCTCTCAAGCCAAAGTGATTGACAGAGATGGTTTTGAAGTAATGGAATGTATAAAAGGAGACCAGTACATTGTGGACATGGCCAACACCAAGGTAAGCATTAAGTAGATTATTTTGGTGAATTTAATTAATTCAGCACACACTTATTAACAGTTTGAGTTTTCATAATTCACGGCAGAAGTTAGTACCTTGTTTTAAATAATTTATTATTTCTCACAATCTTGTGGATTGAATAGGAAATTCTTTTTCTTTTCTTCTTTTTTTAAAAAAATATTTTATTTATTTATTTTTTGAGAGAAGGGAAGGAGAAAGAGGGGAGAGAAATATCAATGTATGGTTGCCTCTCATTTGTCCCCTGCTAGGAATTGGCCTGCAATCCAGACATCTGCCCTGAATGGGAATCGAACCTCGATACTCTGGTTCACAGGCCCGCGCTCAATCCACTGAGCTACGCCAGCTGGGGCTCTTTTTAAAGATTTTATTTATTTATTTTTTTTAAGGAGAGGGGGGAAGGGAAGGAGAAAGGGAGAGAAACATCAGTGTGTGAGAGATACATTGATTGGTTACCTCTTGTACACCCCCAACTGAGGGCCTGGCCTGCAGCCCAGGCATGTGCCCTGAATTGGAGTCAAGTCAGAGAGCTTTTGGTACGCAGGCAGGTGCTCAGTCCACTGAGTCACAACAGCAGGGGCTGATCAGGAAATTCTTATGCTTCGTGTAGTGTCGCCTTGGGCACTAGGATGGTTATACAGTCCAAAGTGGCTGCACTCAGGTGGGTTTACGGTAGGTACTTTACCCCGTGGCATCTTTTTCTCTCTGGCTGTGGTTAAGTATAACTCTTCTTCTCTTTCCTCCCCCTTGCTTTTCACATGTCTGGTTGGGGGTTTTTCATAGTGTGGTAGACTTAGTGGGGTTTGACTTCTTGCTTGATGCCTGAGTTCCATGAAGGGTGACATGGAGACTTCAGGTTTCTTAAGGTCTGGCTTCAAGTCTTATGTAACATGATAGGGACAGTCCAAGTTTGGGGAGGAAGGAGAGAGACGCCATCATCTGATGTGTAAATGACAAGATCTTGTTTAAAGTGTCCCACGGGCTGGGAGATACAGTTGGAGCCAGCGTTGGACACACAGTTGCCCACAGACCGCCTGTGGGTGAGGCTTTAGGACAAGGAGGAATGAGGGGCTCATCAACCGTTTTTATATGACTACTTTTAGTAGGGTGCTGGTGTTTTAAAATTAATGTATAGTTCTATTAAGTATCAATTAGCTATTGCCACAATAATGCTGTAAAACTTAATGGCTTATTTATAATTGCTGACATATATGTGGGCTGGGTTTGGCTTTAAGCTGCAGCTGGAGTCCAGGTCTGGCCTCTGTGTCTCTGTTCCTGCTGATGTCAGAGGACTGTGTGAGGCATGTTTTTCTCACGGTGATGGGAGAAACACGGGAAGGGAACCCCAACTCTGGGTGCACATTTCAAGCCTTTGCTCATATCATTTCTCTGGACATTCCATTGGCCAAAGCAAATCACATGACCGTGTGTAACACCAATACAGCAGAGAAATATGTCTGGTCTCTATCGAGAGGAATCATAGCATCACTTGTCAAAGGTTGTGGATCCAGGGAGAGTTGATGGATTGGGGACAAGAGTGTAATCTACCACAGATACATTAAAAAAGGTCAGTGGATATGATTGGTGCAGAATTTTGAGCCTTCATTTTAATTCTGGTTTTTACACTTTCCCCCGTTTAGTACCTTTTCTTTTCTTTCTTTTTTTTTTAAAGAACACATTTTTTTTAAAGATTTTATTTATTTATCTTTAGAGGGGAAGGGAGGGAGAGAAAGAGAGAAACATCAATGTATGGTTGCCTTTCGTGCGTCCCCTGCTGGGAACTGGCCTGCAGGGCACTGACCTACAACCCTGGCATGTGCCCTGACTGGGAATCGAACTGCGATTGTCTGGTTCGCAGGCCTATGCTCAATCCACTGAGCTACACCAGCCAGGGCCCAGTTTAGTACCTTTTCTAATACACTAATCCTCGTGGTTTGTGCCTATATCAAAATATTTTATGGGAGTTGATCGTCTAAGAAAATACAGTTTATTCTCTTTATTCCTGATTTCTGTATTTGCAGACTTGCTTCCTAAAATTATTTTGTAATCCCAAAGTCAGTACTCACAGCATTTTCATGGTAATTGGCAGACAGGCACTTGCAGAGAACAACAAAAAAGAATTTGAACAGGGTCCCATACTGTAATCAAGTGTCTGCTTTGTGGTCTGTTTAATGCTGTTTTTCTTATCTTTGTGCTTTTTGTTGGGGACTTTGTAGTTTAAAATGGCCCCTAAGTGCATGCTGCAGTTCTCTAGTCCTGTTTAGTGTTTCTTAGTGCAAGGGATCCGCGATGTGCCTTACAGAGAGAATGCACGTGTCAGATAATCGTTGCTCAGAAATGAGTTACAGTGTTGTCGACTTTGAGTTCAATGTTAATGAATCAAACATATATGACGTAAGGTGTCCTGAAACACAAACATACATAAAACACAGTTTTGTATTCATCATTTGATGAGTATACAACCAGGAACCTGGTCTTATATTCGATAATTCAGTGTTTGCAGGACTTCGAAGGCCATAGCTGCTGTGAGTAGTGAGAACTGACTGACTTACTCAGGTGCTCTAGTTGAGCTGCTAGAATGAAGTGGTACAGTACGTTTCAAACTGCCCTCTGTTGAACCCTTGAAGTGCCTCTCACTCCGAATGAGGACCACAGTCTGATGCCTTTTCTTTTGTTTGTTGACTAACTGTTTTTTTTGAGAGTTAAGTGTGTGTTAGGTGATTCAGACATAATTTAGCAGAAAAGTGTATACAACTATAATGGTGATTTGAATAGTTTTTCCTTTTTATGTATTCCACTGGGACTTGTCGTTTCTCTCTCCTTCAAACCCTTGCCCGAGGGATTCCACCAAAGATGCTGGAGGAGGAGGGCAGGGTCGACATAAGGCAGATGGGTCTCCAGATTGCTCTCCTTGTTTTAAACTCAAATAATTTCCTTTTTATCTGTTTTATTTGAAGCTTCTGAGAACTCAGAACTTTACTTAAACACTGGTTTGTGGAAATAAAAGCTTTAAAAACTGCCATGTAAGTAATTCTTTTATTAGTTTGTACTTTTGATACTTTTTCTTAAAAAGTATGAGAAAGAGAATTTTTTGAATGCCTCTGAGGTCTTCTTAATGATTACAGTCACTCAGGATTTCCTAAATTATAAAGAGACTAAGACTTTGTTGATTTAGGTTTTGGCCAAGAAAATTTCAAAAAGAAAGAAATCTGGTGGTTGTATGTCTGTTTATTTCTACAGTCTGAGACTTGTACATATAGGACATATAGTAAGGTAATTAGGGAGGTGGGATAAGGACCGGTAAACAAATCCAGGTGAAACACAGGACATTAAAATACTGATGGCCATCGTTGTACTGTACCATAACTTCCCCCATCCACTTAATATTATCTTTATTTTGATTTCAAAATCATGGTTAATATTTACTCTCTTCATTTTCCAGAAGCAAGTATAATTAATTGATTGTTTACTTGTCCAGGAAATGTTACTGATATCTTAATTGTGGTCTTTGGCTTGAATGATAGGTTTTGGAAATGCATGAATTATTATTTGCAAGTAGTGGGTTTCATAGAACATTTTTTTCCACCTTAACTTTTTAACCTCTTTTCTGTTTCCAGGAGCAATTAGTAACTTGTGGCTTTACTGGGAAATTCAATGAATAGGTTATTAAAGAAAATAATTAAATCTGATCTGTGATGATAAAATATTATATACTTTGAGTATAAACAGGCCTTTCTAATTATATTGTCAAATTGTTATCTTGTTAAATTTGTATCTCTAATCTTTAAACTTTTTTTTGTGTGTGTATATATACACGTACATATATTTTAAGTGTAATTACAGTGCTACAGAAATGCTTTTCTCTGTTACATACTATAGCACAATACATTACAAGGAGAGTAATTACACTTACACCTTTTAAAAAGGAAGCATTTGGTTTCTAACAGTAATTCCTATTGACTGTAGAAAATTTGGAAAATAAAAAGAAGAAAAATTACTCATAATTCTACCACCCAAATATAACCACTATTACCATTTTAATTTGTATCTGTCTTTTTTTCCCTGATGCATCTGAAGATCTATCTTTTCTGATCTCACCAGAACTTTTGCTCTTATTGCCTGAAGGGATATTTCTCATGTTCTTTAGAATCTTGGGATTGTGTGCAGTTGCCGTGGGCTGCCGTGGGCAGAAGGGGAGGCCCCCGTATGTGTGGTGGGGGTCCAGGGCAGGGGCAGGGTTCCACTCCAGCCATGGGAATGTGCGTTTCGTCCCTGCTGTGTGTTGGAGTTCTCCATAAACTGTCCTTTGAAATCAGGTTTTGCTGCTTCTTTAGAATATCATTTTGAAGTAATTTTAAGTAAAATAAAATAAATAAGATAAAAGTTATTTTATCTGGGAACTGGGACATGACGTACAGCTTGTTCAGGTTTAAGTGGTTAGGAAAGTGCAGCAGGAGAGGCAGCAGCAAGAATCAACCTGTAAAACTTTAAAAACTGTAGTTATATTGTCATCACGGCTCACTTATTCTAAACCAGGATTTTGGTCTCTTACTTCCACTCAGAGAATGTTTTCCTTTATTGCTTTGAGGTCTTAGGTACATTCTTTGTTTGAGATTCAAATAGGGCTTTTTGTCCTAGAACTCTCAAATGTGTGATTATTTGGTTTCTAGCACTCAAAACTCTAACAAATCACTATTAAGTTGAATTCAAAAGGTGTAGATTATTAGTAAGGGAATGCCTACAGTAACTGTCTTCTAATCTCATTCAGTAAACTTCTGTCAATTCATCTCAAGTTGATACTGTTAAGTCCACTTGCCCTGGGTTGTCTTTAATTCTTTTCACCATCAAAACAGTTCTGTGCCATTTATTTCTTAATTACAGAGACTAAAACTTTGTTGATTTAGGTTTTGGCCAAGAAAATTTCAAAAAGAAATGAATCCGGTCAGGTCATATAATGACATTTTGGTCAAGGAGTGCATATA